TTGGCAGATTAACCATCTAATTAATCCTTAGGGAACCTTCTCGTCAGCACATTTAACCTTTCCAAGGGCCTATTCATCTTAAGCTGAAACCCCCTCCCCATGAGACGTTCTCACAGACAAAAAAATTTTTTTTTAAAATTCAAGTAGCCAAATAGCTAGGCATGGTAATGCATGCTTGCGATCCCAGCATTTGAGAGGCAGAAGCAGGAGGACCAAGAGTTCAGGACTAGTTTGGGCGACATAGGAAGATTTAGTCTTTAAAGCAAAACAAACAATCTTGTCTTCCTGGAACTCCTTAGGCCTCTTCTCTGTCTCCCCTACTCTGCCCCCTTATGCTCCCCCCCCCCCTCTTTCTTTTTCTCTGTCTTTTCAGGCTGCAACCCAAGGGCTGTTAAGTTAGGGATAGGATTTACTTTGCTCCTGGTTGCCGATGCTGTGATTTTCAGCACCACGGAGAGAGCTCACCAGCAGGATTACTGCGGTTAAACTAAAAACAAACGAAAACAAAACAAACACTACCACTCCACCCCACCCCACCCCCCAAAAAACCAGGGTCCTGGCCTTCTTGGGTGCTCACTGCAGTTGTGAAGAACCAGAAATAGGATAGCTGTAATCAGAGTCCACGACCTCAGACACAGGAGAGGATGGGCACAGTCCTCTGATTGCAGGAAGTGTGGCAAATCCGGGCTGTCCTGGGGCGGGAGGTGGGGGGGCTTCATCTGAGCCTTGGAAGATATTACAGTAGGTACAACCACTAGGTCAGGGCTGTGCTCTTAGGGGAATTCATAAATGCACTTTGAACAAAGGACTGGTTGAATGGATGGATGGGTGGATGGGTGGATGGGTGGGTGGGTGGATGGGTGGGTGGGTGCGTGGATGGATAGATCAGACAGAGCTAGTCTCCAGATCCTCACAAGATAGTGTGGTGGGCCAGGAAGTCAGTCAGTCTGTGACTTGCTCTTTCCTGGCTGGGAAGGAAGTTACAGCTCTGAGCACATGTGTTCACAGGAACCTGGCCTTCTGCGGGGGAGGGGATAGGAAGCTCCGGTGTGGTGGTAGGTGAGAGCACTGTTTGACAGGGTGGCTGGGGGCTGGAAAGCCTCATGGCTGCTCTGACTATGGTACTGGCCGGGGGTGTTGCAGGAGTGGGCAGACACCTGCTGCAGGGGACTCCGGAGCGTCCACGCCTACATCCTGGTCTATGACATCTGCTGCTTTGACAGCTTTGAGTACGTCAAGACTATCCGTCAGCAGATCCTGGAGACGAGGTAAGGAGCTGTGACAGTCTATTGCTGCCTCAGTGGATGCCCTAATGCTAGCCTGTCTCCAAAAAAGGGGGACACGGGCAAGGGTTGGGGTGGAGGACACGGTTCACAGGTGAAATGTATGCGTTTTCTATTCCTACCCCTTTCTTTTCTTGTTCTCTTTCTCTCCTCCTCCTCCTTCTTCCTCTCTCTCTCTCTCTCTCTCTCTCTCTCTCTCTCTCTCTCTCTCTCTCTCTCTCTCTCGACGGGGCTTCACTATGTAGCCAGGCTGTTTTGAACTCAACCCCCCAACACACACACACACACACACACACACACACACACACACACACACACACACACACACACCCCTCAGGCCTCCCTAGTGCTGTAATTACAGGTGTTTGGTCACATACCCCACTTCTGTTGACTCATTTTGGGACCCCTACTTATGACGTAGCTACATTAATGGTGAAGGGCAGGGTCTGGGGGTACATGGCCTCGGATCAGTTGACATATAAGCCTCAGTTTCCTTGTCTGTAAAATAGAACGATAGTATGGACTTTTTTTTGGATCCAAAGACGTGCTCTTTAGAGATGTAGACTTCCCCAAGGGACTAGGGCTGCACCTGGAACAGAGTACACGCTAGCGCGGAGTCCAGTGGTTTCGAGACTAGCAGCGTCTTCAGAATTCTGCTTCGACCCGCAGGGTGATCGGCACCTCGGAGACGCCCATCATCATTGTGGGCAACAAGCGCGACCTGCAACGCGGACGCGTGATTCCGCGCTGGAACGTGTCGCACTTGGTGCGAAAGACCTGGAAGTGCGGCTACGTGGAGTGCTCAGCCAAATACAACTGGCACATCCTGCTGCTCTTCAGCGAGCTGCTCAAGAGTGTGGGCTGCGCCCGCTGCAAACACGTGCACGCCGCCCTGCGCTTCCAGGGCGCGCTGCGCCGCAACCGCTGCGCCATCATGTGACGCCGCCGCGTGCGCCCTGCTGCAGCACTGTCCCAGCGGAAGGGAGGGCAGGGCGGGGCCAGCCTCCCTCGGGACACCAGGGCTAGAGCGGGGAAGCCCCGGGAGGAGAACTCTGGGCTCCCGGCCTGAAGCACCCCTGCAGCCACACACCTCCCCCACCACGAGAATCAGAGGGCGAGAGGGAGCCTCCCCGCCACTCCCCAATCCTCCCCTCCGACCTGGGTCTCCCTGGGACAGCCACCTTCAGTGCTGTAGTTGTAGTGCCCGGTCCCAGGGGGCGCCACAATCTGTGGGCTGAGAGGGTGAGCGTGTGAAAAGGAAGGTGGGGTGAGGAGGTGCTGTCTTGGCCAGGCCCCTGCTCATCTTCCCCACAGTGTGTCTGTCTTTGCCCCATGTCCCCTTTTCCAATGTCTGTCCTCTCGAGTGTCTGTCCGCCCTCATTTGTCCTGTCTTCCCTCCAGTGTCCCTCTCTGTCCCCCAGCTCCGCTCACAGGGCTCTCATTTCGTTCATCCCCCTGTCGCAGGTCCTGGCAGCTTTGTGATGCCAGGCCTTCTCACCGGCAGCGCCACCGGCACAGGGCAGAGAGATGCAAGCGGCCCGAGGACCGAAGCCAAGGGGTCCGAGGGCTGAGGTCCCACAGCCGTCGGGGAGAGAAGGCAGAGCTCTTCCTCATCCAGGGAGACCTCCCTGCCCAGCAGCCCCCAGAGACGCAACCACCTACCTTCCAGCCTTAACTCAATGGTCCCTGCCGGGTGCCCCTCCCCCTTCCTAATCCCAAAGCCAGATTGCCCCTGGGCTAAAATTCCTTTTGTTTTGTTTGACCGCATGGAGAGGAAATTCCCCCAAAGGACAATTTTCTCTCCATGATGCTAGGTCCTACTTCTCTGTTACCTCCTGCACTGGGATGGTCTGCTATGCTGTGGGATGTCGAGTTGTGGGGGACTGGTGGTGGGTGGGCAAGGTGGTGCCCAGGAGGGGGTCAGGTTATACCAGTGATAATTCTGTGTCCCAGTCCCACCCCAGTCCAACTGCCTAAGACTCTGCCTCCATCAGGTCTCAGGTTGTCTTGCTCAGTCTGTGTAGGGGCAGAGCCAAGAAAAGAATAAGGGAGCTTCTTGTGCCTGGGGGAGGTAGGCATGCATCCTTACCCGTAGGTGGAGGCCCTCAGGATCTGACCCCTTGTCCCAACACCAGGTTGGCCCTATGCCCTAACTCACCCACCCCATTTTCTCCGGCTGCCTGGCCGGGTTTCTACCTCTCGTCACCGGAGCTGATCACTGTCAGTTTTGTACCGATTTAGAAATAATAATAATGGAGATTCTAGGAATGGCCTGAGGGATTGATGGGGGACTTGGAGGGAGGAAGAAGGAGTGGTGCCACGTCCCCTGCCCCGGCCGAAGAGAGTTCTTGAGGCTGAACCCTCAGCCTCAGCCTCAGCCCTGGTCCAGTTGGGAGGATAATAAGGACCCCTTGTTAAGAGGGGTACATTGGATGCCCAGCCTTTTCCAGGGCTGAAGTGCACAGACCAGGAAGTCAGGTACCCAGAGAGGTGATGGGGAGGAATCTGGGGGCAGGGGTGGGGGTGGGGAATTTATGGTGTTCCCGTGTGGGAGGGAATCCATGATTCTCTCTTCTGCTTCCCCTACTGAATCTCACTCCCTCCACCCAGCAGGGGCACTGCAGTACAACAGCAGAGGCCCTGACTGTGGGCAGCCCAGTGTTCTGGGTTCTAGTCCTTGCTGCCCCGCACAATTTTGGGCTAGCGACTTGCCCTCTCTGAGCCTCCCTCTGAGACAGAGGTGGTGGCTCCCCTTCCCCACACTTCAGAGTGGCTGGGAGGGTAAGGAAGAGGGATGCCCACTTTCCTCTCCTGCAACCCCGCCCCTGGTTCCACGGGGCATGGGGTAAAGATGGCAGCATCTCATGTGCCCGATCACCCCCAACTCTGAGGCACTCAAGGTGAGGGTGGGGGATCCAGGCCTCTGGCTGCCCCCACTGGGGGATCCATTGGAATGTAGCCCCTCCCCTCACCCTTTCCTCTTCATCCAGGTCTTGGAGTTCAGGTCCCTCCACCCCCATTCTGAGTCTCCGTCCTTCCCCTCCCCAACCAGGGTTTCCCACACAGGGTCTGGAAGTGTGTGTGACACCCATCGAGCTGTTATTGGAAGTCAGATTAAAAATCAGGGAGCGTTTTCCCTCGTTTCTCTACCTCAGTGTCAGCTCTGTTGGTCATGGGGGTGGGGGTGGGTCCCTGCAGGGCACATGTGCTACATGTAAAGAGTGGGGCTCCCCACCCCCAAAGTCCAGGTCAACCCAGGGATCAAAGGGAAAAGGTCCTGGACATAACTCTTTTCCCTCCAGCTAACCACAACCACACAGAGGGCACATCACCTGCCCTCGCTGCTGCCTGGAAGACTCAAATGCTAACTGCCTCTGCATCTTCCTCCCAGTCAGGGGTCAAATTTAGGGCCTCCAAACATAGCTTCTTGGACACAGAAATGTGATGGATGCCATCAACCAGCTCTCGTCACCCTGAGTGATCCCTGTTCTCAGGACCAGGGGCAAATCTTTGAAGTCCATGTCAAGGGTGGCCTTCAGGAGCCTGTGCGGGGCCGCCTTTGTCGCTGTCCACGGTCCTGACCACCAGGACCTGGTAGGAAGCCTCCCTTGCTGACAGCTCCCTCCACCTGGTCTCCATCACCTCCTGCAGAGAGGTTTGAAGCTGCACCTCTCTACACCTCTACAGTCTTAGTGAAAGGACCCCAAAAGATGTATCTCAAGGACAGACCCATGTGTGTTTAATAACTTACAGCTGTGGAAATGTCCAGGGGCCGAGGAGCTGTTCTTAAGGGGCAAGAATAAGATATCGACTCTCCCCAATGCTGCTGGCCAGATGCTGACTTGCAGTGGAAGGTGTGGGCTGCCCTTTTGCTCAGCTGAAGAGATGGGGGTCTTCAAACCCACTCCTGGCCAAGGCCCTGTGCTGAGTGAGGGACTGTCCTTCCTCACGCATACATTGCACTGCATACGTTTTGCTGTGGTCCTCCCCATCTGCAGGCTCTTCAGACCCAAGACTCCTCCTCAGGTGGAAGTGGAGCCCCCTCAGGCTGCAGAGGCTCCTGGTTCGCTGACACCTGGGAGCTGTTCTCCAGTGAGATGCTGGCTTCTTTCTCTTTCTCTTCCTCCTTCTTTTCACCAGCTTGATCCACCTGGCAGGTGCCCCGTCCCTTGCCACCCAATGTGGCTTTCAATAGCCTACTTCCAGGAGCTGCCCTGGCTGGACCCAGGCAGAGGTAGGCCAGTGGCTTGGGAATTCTGGAAGGTCTTTTCTCAGGCCTGTGGTCTCTGCGGGGCCGGATTCTGGGTCTCAGCTTCAGCTTGTAAATGGATGGGATCTTCTGGGGCTTCCGGAGTGTTCTCTTGCCCTTGCCCAGACATACCCTGGCTTTGTCAGAACTGGGGTCTGAGCCTGAATGTGTGGGAGCCTCCGGGGTGGCAGGCACAGTCAGAGTGGAGCAGTCCTTCGCTCTAGTGGATGACACAGTCCTCACTGGGGTACCCTTGGCAGTCAGGCTTGCCTTTATCCTTGGCCCACTCTCTCTGGATCTTGGCTTCTCTTTGGGGCTTCTTGGGCCCACAGCTGACTTAGGGGGGGCTTCAGAGCCTACCTTCCAGGCTTTCAGATCCACTTTAAGGAGAGGTGGGGGGCCCTGAACCAGTTCTTGGATGACTTTATCATAAGGACCCCCAGATTCAGGCCACCTCCCACCCAGGCTGGGAACATAGACTCCGCTTCGAGGGATGATTTGAGGCCTTGTACCCTGATTACAGGCAGCCCCCACCTCCAGCAGTTTCATGTTGGCCACAATCTCCTCTTCAAGGCTATGGTAGAGAGCTTGCTCTCTGGTCCTCCCCAGGGGCAGAGGGGTGTGCCTCCCTTTCCACTTATGTGTGCCTAAGCTCCTGGGATCCTCAGTCTCTGAAGTAATCTGGATGTCCATCTGGTGGTCCCCATGGCTTGCTTCCACAGAGTGATGCCCTTGTGTGGATATATCCAGGTTCCCTGTGAGGGCCTCTGATGGGATGGATCCTCTCTCCATGGAACCTCCACTTTCATTACCCAAAAAACTTCTTGGAGTTGGGGGTCGGGCAGGGGACAGCCGGATGGGGATCTTGGTGAACCCTTTGCTGGGGGGTGGGGATTGAATAGGCATGGGTTCTCTGAGCTGTGGGGAAGCACCCCGATGCAGAAGCCAGATACTGTGAGGATTGGCTAGGCTGGAGGAACGAGGTGGGGGAGATGGTCCTCTTACTGATGTCCCTTTACTGGTGGCCTCAGGGCTTTGGAGCCTCTGGGAGCTGAGGGCCTTGGTATGTGTTCCTTGGCTATCTGATTCCTTGTGAATCCAAGATGTGGGAGTCCTTCCTCTGGGCAGTTCACCTGGGCATCTATTCTCTCTCTTTCCTGACATGGTCCTCCATAGGTCTGGGCTCCTACAGATAGGTGAGAATTGGGGACCGGGTGACAACGTTCTCTGAGATGGGGTCATTGGCCTCTCTTGTGACCTGCAAAGGAGAAAAACATGCTGGAAAGAGAGACTCAGGACCATCAGAGGCATTTCCCATGGGAGTACCATGAGGTACTAGAGAACCTGTGTTCTTCCCGAGGATGGACCAAGAGGTCCCTATGCAGCTGTTCCTCCTGCCTGTTCTCTCTTGTTCCCCATGCAGCAGATAGAAGTGAAACTTCCAGCCCCAAAGACTGATGATCAGATACCCACATTTGGGGCTGGTCTCAGTCTTAGTTTAATCATGAAATGGAAGGACATTGACTATTGCCATTCCTTTTCTGGGCCTCAGTTTCCTTGGCTACAAAATGGGTAGCTATTTGGAGCAACTAGATGCCCCTTAAGTCCTGGGTGCTGTTTTGATCACAAAACACCTGAAGCTTTTTGTCTTGTTCTGTGGCCCTGGGGTGTGGAGTCCGGGGTCTTGTGCACACTAGGAAAGCATTGTCCCATTGGACTATATAACCCTTTTCTTTTAAATTTGGTTTTGTAATATGGCCCCCCAAAGTGGCCCAGGAAAGACCCAAATTCACAATCCTCCTGTCTTGGCTGCCTGAATGCTAGGACCATAGGCATATGCCATCATACCCGGCATAGATGAAGTTTTGTTGGGGTAGGACATTGTTCCCTTTATCTTGGGACTTGAGCCACTGAGAATATGGAGGAGACCCTTACATGTCCCTCTCTTTACCTTAGTAATGGAGCTGTCTCTCGGAGGGTCCTGGCCCCTGCTCCCCGTTGACCATGGGGTCGGGGAGAAGAGGGAGTGGGGGGCCTCAGCTTTCGGCTAGAAGAGGTGTATGTCCTCCAATCCACTGGAGGCAGTGGGCTCTGTGAGCGGCTGATGGTCATTGTAGGCTGGGGCTGTGAGGGTCCATCCTGCACCTTCACTTCATGCTGCACCGGTGGCCCTGGGGGCTTCAGAAAGCTGCCTGGTTTGTGGGCTACCAACAGAGGCCCCCAGAGAAAGCAGAAGAAAGAAATGTTCAGTTCCTGTTTATGAAACTCATTGTTCCTCCTCTCCACACTGTGAAAGTCTCCTCATTCCTCTTTATAGGCACCAGAGCCTACAGGGGCAGCCCCAGTTTTTACAAAAGGACTCAGAGGACACGATCTGGTCAGAGAACCCAACATCGGGATTTGCTGATAGCTGTGTTGTATAGCCGATCCTCAACTTTTATTCAAGTTGTATGCTTATTCGGGTTTACTTGACGTACTGAAGAGGATTAGGGAAGGACTGAAAACCTTCGAAATCAGTCTTCGGGCTACCAGTGTGGATTCCAGGCCAGACCTGAGCTCTCCTGAGATGGACCTTGGCCAACGCTGTTTCTGCGTGCCTTGCGCGCCACCTTGTGGTGATTCGTAGTATTGCGCCACGACTGCCCTTCTGTCTTCACCCACAGTTCCCGCACAGCTGGAGCCCCTGGGGATCAGGCCTATTTGCCCAATCAGGTGCTACCGTCTCTCTAACTAGCCCCACAGCCAAAAACTCTTGGGGAACTCACAGAGGGACGTACACCGGCAGGGGTCATGTTTGTCCAAATAATGGCCCAGCGTGTCCCAGCCGCCCCCAACACGCACCATCACGTGGCTCCGGAGGATCTGAGGGGGCAAAGATGAGATTGAGAGCCAGTGGAGAGCTTCCCCTATTCCTGTATACTCCTTTACACACGTTTGTGATCGGGAGACAGGATATTTTTCTATTCAGTCTTACCCATGACTGCCTCAGACATTCCTTGTAAAGCGAGACTCAAACCGGGAAACAGAAAGTTTCCTGTTCTGCACCCACAGCTGGGGACGCTCTCTTTGCTACACAGGGGTTTGCACTTGTCTCTGCTTGCAATTGATATGGGACCCTCACGCCTCTGTGATGCAACAGAGACGGTGGGAGTTCTGTCCAACTCTGTAATGAGACAAGTCCCATAGTCTTTCCAGACTTTAATTTCCATGGTTCAAAAGTGGGACCACAAATTCCTGGCCTATACCCACATCACAAGACTAGTATCCCAGCATCTGGGGGGGGGGGCTCAGGTGGCTGGCTGTGCTCCCAGGTATGCTCTATGCCCAAGGAAAGGCCTTGGTCATGCCCAACTGCTGACCACACCCCTGAGCACAGACATCTCTGGGGAGGTGACGTTAGGCATGGGGAAGGGCAAGTAGAAAACCCATCCCAGACCTATACTGCTGTTCACTCTACAGAATGGATGGGTCCAGGGTCTCAGTGGTGTACTTTGGGATCCACATGGCTGGGGCCACACACTGAACACAAACCCAGGTTCTCAGGTCTCTCACTCTGCCCTATCCTGTGGAATGGAAAAGTAAGAGTACTTTTTTTTTTTTTTTTTTTGTAGACCCTATTTCTGCCTGTGGGCATCCTGTAGATTCATTCTGATGGAGGTGGTGGAGGGTGGTGGTTCCAGCTACATTTGAAGGGAGGATGGGATAGCCTTGTCAACTTTGCCTAGACTCTCCTGGAAAATTCCAAGGTAGGGGAGAGCCTCAAGGTCTGGTGACTTGGGGTCTATGATGGCTGGCTTCCTGTCCTTGCCCTCAGGCTTAGCCAGGGTTCTATGGGAGGAAACCCCATTTCGCTGACCCTGGATGTCCCTCCCTTAGGCTCCACTTACCCTGATGAAGATGAGAGTGTTGGAGTCCCCTACTCGGTACTTCCCCTCAGATATCTTGACCATGGAGAACTGTACTGGGCATGTGCAATGGCTCACGAGCTTCTGCACCTGTGGGCAATGGCAGAGACTCAGTCCTCTTCTCTGTCTGAGTACCCAAGTCCATTCACGTACTGGGTCAAGCTAAATGGAGCACCTGTCTGCCTCTAGACAGCCCCCTCCCCAAGGCCGGTGCTGAAGTCAGGGCTGGGGGCTGAGAGGTAAGTAGGAAGAGGAAGGCTTTACAGAACCCATCAGTGTAACAGCTGGAGCACCTCACTGTGGCCCTCTTCCCCTTCTGACGAGGGATACAGTGGGTTGTGCTCTTTGACCAGCATGGGGCAGAGTCCTGTGTGTTGCATCACAGGCCTTCTGCTAAGAAACCTTCCTGAAGGATTGCTTGGGCTCATGACTTAGAGACCACGTCTGGCAGCCTTGCAAGGGAAGGGAAAGAGAAGAGCAAAATAGAAGAGGAGAAGAGAGGGGAGCGGAGGAGAGAAAAGTGGAAGAACAAAGGGGGAGCCCTCCAGGAGCTCCCTTTTCCCCAGTGGCAGGAATGGGGCTAGCCTCAGGGAAGTGCCGCCTCCTGGGATGGGATTCTACTCTGGAACCTGCTCCACACACTTGATGTTGGTTCACTTAATTCTCAAAGCCGTCCCAGAAAATGGCTACTGTGCCCCAGTACACTACATGCAGGTGAACGGAAGATCGGAAAGGTTAAACGATTTGCCCAAAACTACACGGTGGTGTTAGCTGGTAACGAGGATGCCATGTCCTTGGCACCTAGCCCACAGGGCTAAATGAGAGGTGTGCAGTGCTAGGCTGGTGCAAAGGCAGTGAATGGCGATGGCCACTGTCACATGTGGTAAGTGTAGGGGCTCTGAGTGGAGCACGAGAGGACTGGGGAAGAGGAGGGCAGGGCACAAGCTGGGCCTGAGGGCATGGCCGGGCGCCTCACCATCTGGTCCAGGTTGTGGAAGTGGCAAGGCCTGCGGACAGGGGGTGCGGGTGGTGGAGGATCCGGCGAGGGCAGGGCCAGCTCACGCCGCAGCTCCTCATCAATCTCCTCTTCCAGATGGACCAGGGCCGGCGCCGCCACACCGAAACGCCAGGCGCGGCGACCCAGCTCCAGCAGACACAACAGCACGCTCTTCACGTTCTTGCGGAGCACCAGGTCCTCTGTCTCGAACATCAGCACCTCTGGTGTGGGACAAAGGAGAGAAGGGGACGTGGGTGGCTTAAGTGCTCCGCTAGAGACCATCCCAAGGCAGGGGTAGCAGACACAGGAGGGTGGCTCGGATTCCAGCATCTCGGGGTGAGGAGGCGCCTGGAAGGGATGCGTCCACACAAGGCAGCCAGGCTAACTGCAGAGGCTGGTGAGTGGGTAAAGTATTTGGAGCCTGATTTGAGCCTAGGGCAGGGAAGAGGACATTCTCTATCCTGCTCTCTGATCCACTTAGCCACCAAGAAGATTTCAGGAGCAAGAAGCAGTTTCTTCCTCTTCTTACCCATCCTGCGGATACCCCAAATTCAGCTTTAGATAACCAGGCCGACTTGACTATAGGCTCTGGGTAACTCACCCTATAATGGCTCTGACTTGACTACAGGCTATGAGACCTTTGGCTAGTTCCAGAGTCCCAGATTTTATCTTCTCAAAAATGAGGGTGTAGCCCATCTCAACAGAAAGCAACAGTTGTTTGGGGGTTCGGTGATGGGAATGATACATAAGCTACATCTCCAGCCAGATCACTAGCTTTGGTTCACCTCTGACCAGCCCCTCACCTCCTTGCCACCAGCCAGGAGTCCAAACCTGACCCTTCCCCTGTCTCAGCACAGTTACCTTTGGTCTGGAGAATTGTGCAATCACACCTAATCCCATTCCTGGGTTCCAGGCAAACAACTGCTGCTGCCTGAACTCTACAAATCCCTGCAGGCATGTGTCCCTCCCTGTAGAGTGCTCCCCCACTCCTGGCATTTGTACCATCTTTTAATAAAGAGGTTCTCAACCTGTGGGTCATGACCCCATTGGTGTCCCACATCAGATATTCATGTTGTGATTCATAACAATAGCAAAACTACAGTCATGAAGTAGCCACGAAATGATTTTATGGTTGGGGTCACAGCAACATGAGGGTTGCAGCATGAGGAACATTGAGAACCACTGCTCTAGTCCCCCATGTTCACTGGCCAGCTTCTCCCAGTTTATCCGCCTTTCTGGTGCTTTGCCATTGCCCTCTCCCCCCCCCCCCCCCCCCCCCGCCCGTGCCTAGTTAATTCTCTTCCCCAAATTTCTCTCCTTACCCCAAATCTCCTCTCTCTTGTTGCCCTTGCTGGTGTCCACAACTATATCATCAAGCTGCTCATTCCCATTCTGGATCCGATATTAATACACTTGACTTTGAAGCACACATCCCCCTGGGGCTATAATTCCTGAATCTATCCATCTGTCTGCCTTCCTAGGCCATGCATTCCTGGGCATTGGACCCTATTCTTCTCAGTCCTTGGTACCCAGCATGCACTGGGAGCAGAAAAGGTGATTCATACACCTTCACGGATTGAGCCATCAACAGATGTCTATTGATCATCGCTGTGTGTTTACAGGAAGGATTTACTGTGAGGTGAAGAAACTGATGCACAGAAAGAGGAGCTACCTCATGGAAAAATCTAGAAGAATACCTCAACGCCTGACCCCCGGACCCGGCTTAGCTTGAGCCTCCAAGGGATGCATGCCCCCATGAGATAAGGGTCTGAGACGGACGTGTTACCTTGGATGCCCATCTCCTTGCGACACCACTGGATGAAGTTGGAGATGTTGTCCCTGGCCTGGAAAGTGCCCGGCTGAGCAGCCCCATTGCAGAAAACGCCAGCCTGGGGCATGGGAATCTTTGGAGCTCGGTCAGGTGCCTCAGCCAGGAAGGCCAGAGCAGCCTCTGTGACAGTGTTGGCATGCCGGCACAGCACCAGGCCAGTCTCCAGCACCTGCAGGAAGTTGGCTGCATCAATGTCCAACCCGTACAGATCCCGAAGCCACTCAGCCAGGTCTTCCTTCATGGCCTCCAGATACTGCTCGCTGGACTTGAAGGGCCGGATGCTGCGCACGGGAGGCCCTGGGGTCCTGGGCCTCCTCCTGGGTCCCCTATGCTGAGACATTGCTGGAACGGAAATACAGGAGGAAGTAGGAGCCTCCTGTCCCCTACTGCTGTCTCTCTACTCTTGCTACAGGCTAGGTCAAGGTCCTGGACCACTTCTCCTTGGCTCAATGGGGTCCCTTTCTACCCTCTGAGAGCCCAGGGCTTCTGGCTCTGCAGCTTGCTGCTGGCTTCAGCCTCTGGGCCAGGCCCAGCCCCCACTGCCCACATTCCTTAGTCCCTGCCTGAACTTTCCCTTTGGTGGCCCTGCAAGCGACCTCACTCTCAGTTGCCCAGTCCACTCAGCTCAGCGCTCCCCCAGGACTGGTGGAAGTGAGAGCATTCCTCTCTTCCCAGGGCCAGGTGGGTCATCCGCTGCCTCCAAGCAGCCCTCCACTGTCACCAGCCAGGGAGCCCGGAAAAGCATCCAGGCTGTGGCCTCGCCGCCGCTGCTCTGCTTTCTTTCCTCTCCTTGGAGACAGCAGCTGCTACAAACACTCCTTGTTAACACTCTTCCTTCCAGCAGCCAAGCGCCTGTGTCCTGCTGAGAGGCCTGAGCAGAGGGAGCAGGGCAGGGAGGCTGGGGCAGGGTTCTTGTACCCACTGACTCCTCGTGGGGGGAGGTTGAGGAAGGTGGGGGAGAAGTGCAGAGAGATAGGGCTTAGAGATCATTGAACACTGAGGAATGAATGAGCAGGAGGGAGAGAGAGAGACAGCAATAGAGACCCAAGATAGGAGTTTTGCCCTACATCCCTTTGGGGGTGGCATACCCTCCCTGGTCTCTCTGTGCCTTAGTTTCTCAACTGTCAGATGGGAAGGACAATCTCTACCCTTCTGGGGTGTTGCGAGGAACAAAAGAGTAGTGTGTGTGAAAGCACCAGACCCTTAGACCACGCAGGCACAGCCTGGGTGAGCCCCAGCTCTCACCAGCAGCCCTGTCTACGTACTGGAGAATCTGTTCCATCCCTGCTCCTAGAACAGGGATGAGTCTTCTAGAACAGTCTCATCCCCTAGTCACGGCGATGCATTCATTCAGCAAAGATTTCTTTTTTGTTTGTTATTTTGCTGTTGTTTGGTTTTTTTTGGAGACAGGGTTTCTCTGTGTAGCCTTGGCTGTCCTGGAACTCTTATCTGTGGACCAGGCTGGCCTCAAACTCACAGAGACTCACCTGCCTCTGCCTCCTGAGTGCTGGGATTAAAGGTGTGCACCACCAGTGCCCGGCTTAACAAAGATTTCTTAAGCCTCTACTATGTACCAGACACTATCATGGGGCTGAGTATACAGCAATAAACAAAACACCACTTGCCTGAACTTACGGAGGCTACTTATATGGTACTGGGTGATGGGTGGTAGATGGACAAATAAGTCTGGCTAGGAGTTCTAGCACACACCTGTAATTTCAGCAGCTGGGAAGCAGAGGCAGGATTGAGAGTTCAAGTCCAGCCTACATAGCAAATTCAAGTCTAGATTGGAATACATGGTAAGGCCCTGCCTCAAAAACCAAAAGATGAAACAAATAACAAAATAAATGTGCAGTAAGTCAGGCAGTGATAAATATTGGGAGAATAATACAGGGAGAGTGGGTGGCTTTATGGAAGGGGACACCTTCCATAAAGGGAAGGCCTTGATGCTAAGCTGTCATCTGGGCAGAGAGCTGAGAGAAGTGAGGACATGAGTTCACATGAGGAATGAGAGCAGCCAGTGCACTGGCTTGGAGGCAGGAGCATGCTTGGTATGTTCTAAGAATAGCAATACTAAAAAAAGAAAGAAAGAATAGCAAAAAGAGGTGGGGGGGGGGCTGGAGAGATGGTTCAGCAGTAGTTAAGAGGGATTGTTGTTCATCCAGAGGACCTGGGTTTGGTCCCCAGCATCCACTCCTGGGAATCTGATGCCCTCTCCTGGCCTCCATGGGTACCTGCACACATGTGGCATACAAACACACATGTATGTAAGTTTAAAAAATTGAGTTTTAAGAAAGTGAAGTGGTCTGGAGAGACAGTTCAGCAGTTAAGAGCTCTGGCTGCTCCTGCAGAGGATTTGAGTTCAGTTCCCAGCACCCACAAGACAGCTGACAGCTACTGGTAATTCCGGTTCGAGGGATCAGACACCCTCTTCTGGCCTCTGCTGCCACCAGGCATGCACATGGTATGCATACACATATGTAGGCAAACACTCAAACACATAAAATAAAAATAAATAAATTGTTTAAGGGGGGGTGGGCTGGAGAGGTGGCTCAGAGATTAAGAGTACTGGCTGCTCTTCCCAAAGACCTGGGTTTGATTCCCACATGGCAGCTCAGAACCATCTGTGACTCCAGCTGCAGGGGATCCAACATCCTCTTCTGGCCTCCATGGACATCAAGCCAAGAATGTGTGTGGTATGCAGACATACATGCAGGCACGTAAAATAAACAAACAGATAAATAAATAAGTTTTGAAAAGAATAGTAAAAAGAAGGCAGACATGTGACTGAGAAGAAATGAGGCCCCAAGACAGGACCTGGCAGGTGAATGCAGACAGGGCCTGGCAGGTGAGTGCAGATAAGGCCTGGTGGGTGAATACAGACAGAAGAGGGCCTGGTGGATGAATGCAGACAGGGCCTGGCAGGTGAACACCAAGATGCATTTTCTCCTGGTAAAATGTCAACTGTACTAGAGTTCAGGGCAGAGGAGGGACGTGCCCTGACTCAGCAGTTGTGTGGAGGGACTCCCGAACTACAGGTGTTACTGGACAACATTTGAAATTCTGGCAGCACCCAAGGAGGAACAGTGGTAGCTTAGACCAGGAGATGACAAGTGGCCACATTCCATGTAGCTCCTAGAGAGTTCATAAGATTGGTCTAAACAAGTGTTCAGCCTTGGCACTCTGAGACTCTGGTTAGCTAGACATAAGTTTTTGTAAATCTGGAAAGCATAACTGACATAACTATAGAAATAACACTCATGGGTGACTATTAATCTGTAAGTCTTATCTATCTAAATAACCTAAGGACTAAGTGTAACTTGAGTTTTCCTGCCCGGCCCACAATCAGGACAAATCTCTCTCACCTGCCAGTCCCACAGCCGCTTAAACCCGACCAAGTAAACACAGAGACTTATATTGGTTACAAACTGTATGGCCATGGCAGGCTTCTTGCAAACTGTTCTTACAGCTTAAATTAATCCATTTCCATTAATCTATACCTTGCCACATGGCTCGTGGCTTACCAGCATCTTCACATGCTGTTTGTCATCCTGGCGGCTGGCAGTGTCTCTGACTCAGCCTTCCACTTCCCAGCTTTATTCTCCTCCTTGTGCCATTTATACTTCCTGCCTGGCCTCTGGCCAATCAGTGATTTATTTATTGACCAATCAGAGCAACACATTTGCCATACAGAACATCCCACAGCACTTCCCCCATTTTTTTTTTCAAAAAGGAAGGTTTTAACCTTAACAAAGTAAAATTACATATAATTTGGGAATTTGGGCATAGCTTCTCTTATTACTTCCTGCTGGAGGGGGGCACTGTATCTTATGGGGACACAAAGAAAATTTTAGGATCATGGAGTAGTCCGTGAGGCTGTATCGTCTGAGCCAGTTGCCTTTAAACCGTTCTGGATGTTGGATCATCTGGGCCATGGTGTCATCAGAGACCTTTCAGGGGGTCTTGGCTGGTCAAACCTGATGTATCTTAATCTGGAACAAATCCATAGCCTTTGGCTTTCTGTGGGAACAAAAGCAGAGTCTCCTTTCCAAAGCAACACATCCTTACAACTAAATTTTGAAGTCAAGGTATCTTTAAAATACACATTTTGGCATAACTCAACAACTTTTACAATCAAATGTTTTTCTGCAGTTAAAAATCCCAAAGACAACACAATCCAGATTCTCTGTGTAATATTCATCTTTACGTGACTTATTTTTTATATTAATTTTACTGTCTCTTTAAAGACTTTATTTTTTAAAACTATGTATTTGTTTCTATAACTGTATATATTACCTTTTTTTGTCTCTTTCAAGCCTACGTATATTTTACACACATTGTAAACTATTACATCTGAATCTGTCTTATTGTGAATCTATTGCTGTAAACTGCAGCAGCTGTGGCTGCTGGCTCCGCCCACCTCAGCTTCCCAACATGGTGGTGGTTTCCCGCCAGCTCTGGGAGCTATCGTGGGTCTATGCTTTTATCCAAGCAGCGTGTAGCCCAGAAACCTCATTTTTTTGTTTTGTACTAGCAAAGGCTAAATCCACCACGCAGCTTAATGTGCTGCTTGCAGAGGCCTCATTCCCGCCAAACTGCAGGTTGAGCATGCACACCAGAAACCCACAAGTAGCTCAAACCGGCAGCTGCTGCTCATTTGAGAGAGACAATTAGGAAGCTGTTTTTAGCTCCGTTTTAGAATCTTTTTTCTCAGTTTTTAGGTGGAAACTCTTGCCACCACGTTGGACGCCATTTGTGGCTTGAGTTTTCCTGCCTGGCCCACAGTCAGGACAAATCTCTCTCACCTGCCAGTCCCACAGCTGCTCAGACCCGACCAAGTAAACACAGAGACTTATATTGGTTACAAACTGTATGGCCGTGGCAGGCTTCTTGCTAACTGTTCTTACAGCTTAAATTAATCCATTTCCATTAATCTATACCTTGCCACATGGCTCGTGGCTTACCGGCATCTTCACATGCTGTTTGTCATCGTGGCGGCTGGCAGTGTCTCTCTGACTCAGCCTTCCGCTTCCCAGCTTTATTCTCCTCCTTGTCCCGCCTATACTTCCTGCCTAGCCAATGGCCAATCAGTGTTTTATTTATTGACTAATTAGCAACACATTTGCCATACAGAACATCCCACAGCAACTAAGGCTTCACATTAGCAAGGTAAGCAATCTTTAAACCAAGGTACAGTATAAGGACAATGACCTCAAAATTGTGACAATACACAAAATACCCCTTAAATGGAGATAGAAATGTATAGTGCAATAGGACAACACTATCCTTAATATGTATCAATATACAAAATATCCTAAACAGAGATAGAACATACATATAGCATGGTGAATATAATTTCACATTTATATCAATATATAAAATATTTCAAATAGGAGTAGGAATATATTTACAATATGACAATCAAGTTTTGAATTTGTATCAATATACAAATTATCTTAAATAGGAGCAGAAAAATAGTTTGCATTTCTATCAATATACAAGAATCCATATCAGTGCAAATTATCTAAGGCTGATAGTTTGCTAAATTAGTTTACTAGTATATATAATAATCTCCTTAATATACTATACCTATCCATTCTCCTTTTTCCTTTCCCAAAAAAGAATCCTGAATCTAAGTTCTATTGTTCCCCCCAACCCTGTAACAATTTACCCATATCCCTGAGAGAAATGAAAGCTTTTAGGAGAGGGGGCATTGTTTTCTTAAAATTGCTTTCTGCTGTTGAGGGGGTGACAGTATCTCTGTGGTATCCTGTAAGAAAGCCAAATGGTTAAGTCTCAGTAGGACTAATTGTAATGTTTATAGCCAGTCTCAGAATAATGGGTAAGGTTAACTGGGGTTCTGGCTAGAAATGTAATATGATGGACCATCTCATCTTGGAAATGTTCTGAAGAGTTTGCAGTCCAAAGTGTTTTTTGGTTCAATGGCATCATTACGGACTGGGAAGAGTTGTTGTTGTAGGGCCCCATCTTCCTTTTGGAGACTTTAGAGATCGCCTGTGAAGCATATTGGTACCAATAGGTTCTTCCCTTCTGCTATAGATGTCTGGGTGTCCAAGTCCTTTTGATTTCTTGAAGATGGGTATTCCTATTATCCTGTAAAGACAAAAAACAGACCCAACCTTTGTTAGTTGAGTTTTCCTTAAAACTTATAGAATCCTCATATCGGTGGATGAACTATTACTTCTCCTCATCAATGGATTTCTCCTGTTCAAATTAATTTTTTAATTAACTTTGTTGATATCCATAGCTTTTCTTCTCCTGCAGAAGCAAAAGCAAAACCCCTTCCCCAACATAGGACATATCCTGGTTTCCATTCCGAGGTCAACATATCTTTGAAGTAAACTGGTCGGTTTAGCTCAGGAGTTTTTTCTGTTGTTCAGTGTCTCTCTGCAGCTGTTGTCCCTTTCTCATCAGCATGGAGAAAATCCAAGGTTAATAAAGCATTATGCAATCTATTTCTAAGGGTCATTGTTACCTCTTTCTGTTTATTTAGCATATTCTTTAAAGTTTGATTAGGTCTTTCTATGACTGTTTGGCCTGTGGGATTGTGTGGTACACCTGTAACATGTTTTTATTGTAAGAAGCAAAAAACTGTTTCATTTTATTTGAGACATATGCTGGAGCATTGTCAGTCTTAATTTGTACAGGTATTCCCATGATGGCCACAACTTCTAAAAGGTGTGTAATTACAGACTCAGCCATTTCAGAACTCATAGACATTGCCTATTGAAATCCTGAGTAGGTGTCAATGGTATGGTGTACATATTTTAATTTTCCACATTCTGAAAAATGAAACATCCATCTGCCAAATTTCATCTCATACCTTTAGGATTGCTTCCTGCAGGTAATGGAGTTTGGTTATAGAAGGAACAAGTGGGACACTTTTTTTTACAATTTCCTTGGCTTGTTGCCAAGTGACAGAAAAGTCCCTTTTCAAATCTTTGCTATTTACATGGTGTTTCTTATGAAATTCTGAGGTGTCTAGCACATTATCTATGAATAATTGATCAATTTCATCACTCCCTTGTGCTAGAGGACCTGGCAGACCCATGTGGGATATATGATGAACCCATATATGATGTTCCCTATTTCTGATGATTTCCTGTAATTGCATAAACAGTCAAGTTAATTCTATATTATCAGGAATAAATTCAGCAGTTTTAATATGTAAAACAACTCTCTCTGCATATTGAGAGTCAGTGACTATATTGAGAGATTCTGTGAAAGCCATAAGTACCATAGGAATGACACACTATTCTGACTTTTGTACAGAATTGTAAGGGCTTTGGACCACTGTACTTAAATCTTCTGATTTATATATCCTGCCTTTCCTGATTTATTTGCATCAGTATAGAATGTGGGGACTCTAGAGATTGGTTTCTGACTTTTAATGTGAGGAAGGACCCATTCAGTTCGTTTTATGAATTCTATCCTCTTGCTTTTCGGGATAACAGTTGTTAATCTCTCCCAAAAAGTTACTGCAGGCTCTTTGCCAGTATTCATTATCTTTCCATAAAGAGGAAATTTCCTCATTAGTTAAAGGTACTACAATTTCTGCTGGGTCCATTCCTGTTAATTGACAAAGTCTTAATTTTCATTTTAGAATCAAATCAGAGATCTTTCCCACATATGTCTTTAATTTCTTACTTGGTGTACATGGTAGAACTATCCATTCTAATATAATATCTTCCCTCTGCATCAAAATCCCTGTGGGGGAATGTCTGGAGGGTAATATGACCAGAATGCTTTGAAGTTCTGGATTCACAGGATCCACACGTGCCTCTTGTATTTTCTTTTCTACTAGAGCCAATTCCTTCTCAGCTTCAGCTGATAATTCTCTTGAACCATTTAAGTCCTTGTCTCCTTTTAGTGTATTGGCCCAATTTACTAGTCCATCTTTAGGTATTCCAATGATAGTCTGTAAGGTGGAAATACTTCCTAACAATTTTTGAAAATCATTGAGTCCACAATCAATCTCTCCTGAGTTGTACCTTTTGGGGTCTAATTTTTTGTAGCTCTATCTTATATTCTAAGTAATTAATAGAATCTCCTCTTTGTATCTCTTTAGAAGCAATTTGTAATCCCCAGCAAGGCAAAACTTTCTTTACTTCTTCAAACATGCTTTCTAAAGTATCTGATTTTGGGTCAGCTAATAAGATATCATTCATACAACAGTAAATTATAGATTGTGGAAATTGTGCATGAATTATTTCCGATGGTTTTTGCATGAAATATTGGCACAGGGTGGGACTATTTAACATTTCCTGTGGGAGGACCTTCCATTGATATCTCTTGACTGGCTGGAAATTATTTTAAGTAGATACTGTGAAGGCAAATTTTTCTCTATTCTTTTCTTGTAGAGATATTGTGGGGGGAAAAACAGTCTTTTAAGTCAATAACTATAAGAGGCCATTCTTTAGGTAACAGAGAGAGTAAGGGTATCCCATTCTGTAGGCAGTCCATAGGCTGAATTGCTTTATTAATGATTCTCAGGTCTGTCAGCACTCTCCATTTACCAGATTTCTTTTTAATAACAAATACAGGAGAATTCCAAGGACTGGTAGATTCTTCAATGTGTTGAGCATTTAACTGCTCCCAAACCAGCTGTTCTAAGGCTTGTAGTTTCTCTTGTGTCATAGGCCATTGTCCAAACCAGACAGGTTTATCAGTTAGCCATTTTAAAGGTAGGACCATTGGTACCTCTGAGAGTTCAATGGCAGTTGTGCTCTATTTATGTACAGTCTGAATAGTTGGTGGCTATTTTTTTATAGTATCTTATAATATTATTCCCAGATACATGAATTGGTCTATATTCCACTTCCGAGATTGAAGGAATTTTAATCTGGGTATTCCATTGATGTAACAGATCTTGGCCCCAAAGATTCACTGCTACATTAGCCACATATGGCTTCAGCCTTCCTCTCTGTCCTTCTGTCCCTATGTATTCAACCCATCTCATACTTTGTTTTACCTGAGATAGGGTTCCAATACCCAGAAATTGAACATCTACCTCTTGAAGAGACCAATTCGGATGTCTTGATTTTGGCATAATTATAGTCACATCCACACCTATGTCCACTAAGCCTTCTAGAATAAGATTATTAATTCATATTCTAAGCTTTTGTCTTTATTCATTTATGGCAATCTGGCAAAATATTCATTTTATTGTGTTTTTTGGAGTTTTTGATCCAGCTATCAAAGCTATTCTATCATCCAGTGCAGTATTGTTCTTTACATTAGGTACTGTATTATTTACTTGTCCTGGGGAGGAATTTCCTCCACAGTGACTGGAAATGACTTGACCACGTTCAATTTGGGGGCCTGCAAGAAGCCCCCTTGAGGTGTTTTCCAATGGTAAAGGATTGCCTCATTTGTCTCATGTTGATCTTCATTCATTGGTCCAGTGTTGGCCTTTGCTGCATCTTCTGCATAATCCAGAAGATTAGGGTCTCCTATTTGGGTTATTTCTAGAAGAAGCATTGCTTCTAGGAGCACCCTGGTACAATTTCTTCTTATATGGTCTAGTGTCCCACAGTCAAAACATTTGGTACTTTAATGCCTCCTTCTACCTTTGGAAATTGCCTCTGCTATCCAAGCCTCATCACAATAGTTAAGAGACTCAATATTGTTTATGTATTGGATCCATTCTTCCATGGGTGTGATCTGATCTTTAAAGGTGCAGGTATCCTTTTGCATTCTATATTAGCATTATCAAAAAGCCAAAGATTGAGTTAATACTTGTCTTAGTTCTTGGTCTGATATTGTCTTGTTTATATCCTTGGTCAGTCTTCATAAAAAAAAATCAGTAAATGGTTCTTCTGATCCCTGGAAGACCTTTGTATATAGCTCAGTTGGTTTCCCTGGTTCTGGAATGGTTTCCAAGCAATTAAGGCTGCTGTACAGCATATGGATAATGTATGCTCAACAAAGGTAGATTGTGCATTTATATTAGTGAAGCAGTCCTCACCAAGAATTTGATCTTGCGGATCTCAAAACCTCTAATCTTACCTTGCTGCTCAAGGATCTTAGCTTCTTCTCTCAACCAGCTTTTCCATTGTAACTGCTGGCTATATTCTAACACAGCAGATATTAACTGATTCCAATCATTAGGCATGACACTGTTTCTAGAACATCACGTATTTAACATCTGTTTCACCTATGTTGAATGAATACCATAAGTAACTACAGCTTCCTTGGTATTCTTTAAATTTCTCATATGAATAGGCTGCCAGATATATTCTACATATCCTTCAGGATGTTTATCATTTACTGGTTTTTCACAAACGGTGACAGGATCTGCCACTGTATAAGAACCATCTGTTACCTTTAGTAAGTCATCTCTAACTCTGTAAGGTACTGGCAATGTTATGACTTCTATAGCCTCGACCTTCTGCTTGTTATCACCATTATTCTCAGTTCTATAAGACTCCAAAGGCTGAGATTGATTAATCACAGCTTTTTCTAGAATCTGTACCTCCTGTACTGTAAATGATTCCAGTGAGTTCATGGACTCCAACAATTTTTTATGTTCACCGGAAACATATGATTTCAAAGACTTTATTCTATCAATTAATGATGATCATTTCTCCTTAGAAATTATCTGTATGGTATTAATATTGCTCTGAAGATTTACTGTTTTATCCATTGGGTATTCACATTTATTACCAATAGGATTAAATCCGATTGTTCAGTTATTATTAGCAGACTGAAGTTCTTGTGGTTAACTATCAGATTCCAAAGAAAGAATATTTTTGTTTAAGTTCTCATTACCATTTTGCAAAGTCTGTATCAGTCCCATTAATGTCTCATTTTTGATGTTGTTATTAAACCAGTTTTTCAGTGATTTACTATGCTAATCGCCCATATATATGGTAAAAATTGTATGTATCTTAGGAAGGCCGTATATTTCTTGTAAAATTTCATCCATAGTATAAACAAAAATGTTTTTAAATTCCTGAGTAGTTATATTATCTGCCGTTGTGTGAGAGAGACTTAAAATTTGTAAAGACACTTTTTAACATTTTTATGTGTTAATTAATTAATATCAGTTTAAGGTGTAGAGTTATCAAGTAATTTACCTCAGATAAGATCCTTGAGAGATTGTTGTAAGTGTCTATCTGTTCCAGATGTAACTGAGCAAGTTGAACGAATGACTGGTTTAGTCAATGATTTTTTGTTTAGTCAATGGTTTGCCGGTAGGTGTTGCAGATGTGGCACCAAAACATGTCTGGTGTGAGCCGACTCAGCTCTCTGAATGGGCTCCTGTGAATCAAACACTAACCCAGGCAACCTCTACCCATGAGTACTGGGCAGAGGAAACAGGATCACAACAAATGAGGCAATACACCTAACAGTTGGAAGTGCTGCCTGGGACACCTGTGGATGAGATAGCTCTCAGACTAGAGGTGCTGCAGGGCTGGCTACCTGC